CGGTAAGAAATGTATACGACTTAATGGACCGAAACATTTCTTACCTAATTTAACACTTCTTTTTTACATCTCCCTCTTCTTCACCTTTTTACCTTTTCTATCATCCATTCTTACATTTTTCAACAAAATGTCCATTTAACCTTAAATTGGAGGTATTCAGGGGAAGTTGTCATAAAATTCTCGCGCATTCATTAATATGTGCATTGCTGATGATTGTGAGCAGCACTACATATTGTAATCCTAAAATGTCTTTTGCGCACTTTCCATTTTGTCACAACTGAAACTGCATTTTTGCGCCCTCATTTGCACTATGCCACTTGGCGTTTTTAAGAAATTACAAATCAAATCATAGGCAAATTTTTCATTTCCTGCTTGCAACCGTAATGGATATATCAGTACATATATCATCTTTCATATTCCGTTGATTTTTTTTTTTCAGACACTGACACTACCAGAATTGCTGAAAAATTATTTTGCACTGGAATATCTCGAAGATGCGAGGTGCGAAAAGTGCTGCGAAGAGAAGCAAGCAAATCCTGGTGTTTTGACAAAGAAAATGGCGTTCTCTGAGGTATATTGCATTTGTTTCTTTTTATGCGTTTTGTGCTATGTAACGCGTATTGCCACGGGGTTGTGTGTGTGTGTGTGTGTGTGTGTGTGTGTGTGTCCCACACATTTTGTCCTGCACTTTCAGCTCGGGAACCACAAAAGCTAGGTGGTTGAAATTGTAGTATAGTGTTCCCCGTCAACGTGTGACGTGGCAGATTTAAATTCAGCCTTCCCGTGCCCGCGGGTAACACGTACGGCTCCGTAAAAGTTTTGGCGGATAAAATAATTATCTCGGGAACTAAGAAAGCTGGGAAACTGAAATTTTTTGGATGTATCCTCTGCCCATGTGCGACCCAGAGAATTTAAATTAAACCTTCCCGTGTCTGTGGGTAACGCGTACGGCCACGTAAAAGTTTTGGCGGGCAAAACCATTATCTCAAGGACCGCGAAGCTAGGGAGCTATAATTTTATGGGTATGTGCTTGACCACGTGCAGCCCAGAAAAATTAAATTCAGTTTTCCCGTGCGGTTGGCTATCGCGTGCGGTCTGTGAAAGTTTTGGCAAAAATTGTCGGAGGAACCATGAAAGCTAGGAAGCTGAAGTTTCAGGACAATATTTTCTGCCGCTGCAGGAATCTCACAAATTCAAATTTAGTTCCCAAGTATGTAGAGGTCTTACGTAAGAACACGTGGGAATTTTGATGTGAAAGTCACTAGCTCGAAAGCAGGAAAACCAGAACGTTGAAATTTGTAAGGATGTTCCCCATTCATGTTTTCAAATTCAGCTTTCACGTACCGGCATGTGAAATTTCCAGTAGAAAATTTCTCACCTTAGAAGCCAGGTAGCATATCTGCTATTTTTCCGTACACGAAAGTGTGAAACAGCCACATCTGTAGTAAGCAAACGTTCGCTGGACGGAACTGCGCAAAACGCATGATCGCACCGGCTACCCTGGTGCTCTTCGCTATTTGTTTTTGGTTAAATGTGAACAAGGAAGCTTTTCGGTAAGAGAAAAATGACTAGTATTGTCAGAATAATTTGCGGGGTCGTTAGAAGTCCTGGACAAATTTTGAAACTCAATCAAAAGTAGGCGACGGCTGGAGAAATGCAACTCAGGGTAGAAGAGCTGTCTGTATGTGCTGAGCATCCCAATTGTGAGGTCTCAATTTTCATGGGTGTGAAATTTTGTGCAGTAGCGTGATCCCAAACGAAAGCTTCCAAAGGGTAACCTTGCACAAGGACAAAGTTACTCGCTGTGGGCGGAACCGAGTTTAGTTTTCATTTATTCAGCAAAAAAGACGTAAGAAAGTTGGCAAAGTAACGGAAGCATAAAAAGTGATAATTTTTTAAAGAAAGTAGTATTGATTCAAACGATAGTCAACTTTTTATTCTCTTTCAAATATTTGTCTCCCTTTCAGTTATTTTTGTCTTTTCAGCTTCCATCTTTGCTGATAATCCGCGTGGAACGAGTTGGCTATTCCGGTGGCACGTTTAAGCGGTATGAGCACGTCTTCTTCCCGGAATTCCTCGATTTGCGACCTTTTTGTTTAAGCAAAAGTGAAAAGGTCCGTTTCAGTAACAAATGTTACCAGTTAGATGCCGTGCTCGTTTTTTTTGCTTATTTTGTCTTATCTTTCTCTGTTTCCCTTGCTCTACGCTTTTTCCTTTGGAACGTATTAACAAGCGTATCTCAAATATTTACTCTTTTTTATTTTCCTTAAATGAAAAGCCATCGGTATGTTCATTGTGGAGATACAGCGAGATTTATATCATGGGAGGGCGCAGCGGAGCAGAAAATACTAACTTGTATTTCGAACTTACCCGTAAGTGAGGAGGTTGAAACGCTGGGAGGTGCAGTGGATTGGATTAGCTGCTACCTCTAGCATTTTAGCAAAGTAGGCCTTTTGACTGAGATCCCAACGACTTTACTGGTCCTTTCGTAACAGCCTGTTTGTTTAGTACCATAGGGTCAGTGACGGTTCTATTGAGGGTACGAATGAGAATCCGTAACAGTCTAATATTTCAGAGCAATCAGAAAGAAGCAAACGGCCCGACACCTAATTCGAACCTCCGCATATTGGGTGGTTCGACGCTGAATGCACTACCG